GGGTGCATTTTTTTTATAGTTAGCTTAGGATTTAGGGTTAGTTTTAATAATTAAAATGTATAAGTGGATTTTGGTAGGACTTATATTTTTAAATCGAGGTCCCTAATTTCAAGCTTCAGCCGCGACAATATTTTTATTTATTATCAATTATAATTGATTTCAATTTTAATCGGCGGTGTTGTTTGAAATCCTTAGATTTTAATCGATTCTAATCAGCTTTTAAAATTTCCTGATGTAGAGTTTGATTTTCGCACCAATTTTAGGTTACATTTTTCAATTCAACGTAAAGACAATTTCAAAATCCTACCGGTAACTTTGTAGGTTTATATTAATCAGACGTCTGTAAATGCACGCGTCAGTAAATTATCTAATAAGTTGATATCAGTTTATAAAATATAAAGATGAACACGACTCGGTGAGTCGACTCGAGCTAGATTGACAAAGAGCTTGCCAATTTAACCTAAATCAACTAGAGACGAGTAGATTAAACTCGATTCGAGTCAACCTGGCTTGTGAAGTGACTTGGCTCGAGTCAATTTTGAAAGTCAATTCACTGACGAGTCGAATCAATAAAGAGATCTTATTGTATAAAGGGCAAAGTCAATACTTTATACGTTGAATTAAAGACTGTAAAGTTGAAAAAATCGTTTAAGTTAAATTCGTCAGAATACCAATAGGTAGTTATAGTTTAAATGTACACCATATTAAGCTATAGGTGCTATCTTTACTTACAATTAAACTGAGATCATTAATCTATATGCTATTATACACTATAAACAGTGTTTTATCTAAGACCTAAATCCTATATACTATTATACACTATAAACAGTGTTTTATCTAAGACCTAAATCCTTTATGCGTTTTATCCACTATCTAAATTTTTTATTCCACCTTTTACTCATTTTACAGTATTATGAAATAATCCAACCCGAACCACACAAGAGAAAGACTCATTACGGAGATAAGGTTCCATAAATGATGGAATAGTGAAGACTCCGATAATATTAAATAACAACAATTTAAATAACCACCTTCCCCAACTATTTTCTACTTCATGCATGGCTGTTCTATCTCCAACTAATAAATTTTCAACAATTTCCCAAAGAATAAACAATAAACCATGAAACAAAAAGAAAATCATCTGCTCGCCTGGTCTCTTACCCCACATACAATAAACTATATACTCATGCAATATTCCACTAACAAAAAAAGCTGAGAATATTCCAAAAATATTTCCAATTTTTTTATAACTACCAAAAAGATTTTTGGTGGGAACATAACCTAGATATAGAAAAATTTCTTTAAGTACAGAATGCCAACGCTTCGACCAAAAATCTCGCGGACCAGTTGACATGAAAGGTAAATTCATTGGATCTTTCGTATAGAATAATAAAATGATCAACCACTTTTTAATGTCTTCTATTGTTGATGGTGTAAAGAGTTGAAATTGATATTGAGATTCGGTGTCTTTATCGGTTGAGTCCTGAGCAGGTTGATTGTTTTGAAGTAGCGGGAGCAATAATAGTCCATAAACAAACACAAAAACATCATAAAACAAAGATATATAAATATACAACATTACTGCCAAGGCATAATGATAAAATAAATAAAATGGTGTAATAAATTTTTTTCCTGTCAAAAAATAGTCAATAAATCGAAGGATATAAAATTTATCTGGGATAATTGGTTGGTAAGCTTCAGCCCATTCGCATATAAAATCAAAAACCAAATATTTTAATATAATTATTGCAACTCGTTTCCCTTGATTAATAAAATATTTTTTTAGAGTGATCTGATCAGTATATTCTGATTTGTCAATCTCTAATGCGTCAGGTCTCCAAGCAAACAGAGTTGTAAAAAAAGGTTTGGTTTCAGATTTTTGCGTGTTGGATAAATGACACTGTTTTAACCACAATAACATTTTGCAGGCAATTACGAAATTAAAAACAGAGTTGACTGCTTGAAGCGCACAGTGATATCTATCGCTGTATAATATCGGAAATAAAATTTGAAGAAAAATTAATGTATAAAGAACAAAGAAGTGCATTTTGGTGGTAGGAGGATTAAATGATAAAGAGATAGATATAAAAAAGAGAATACTTGAAAATAGTTGATAGTCAAGAGGTGACATTAGAGGTGGAAAATCTTCTATTTTTTTCCATGATAAAGTATTTGGATTGAAATATTTGAAAATCAATGATAAAAAGATGGTGAAAAGTAAACTTTGGATAATAGATGATTTTAAGAACATTTTGTTTTCAAGAAACAAACGGGTGTCATGCATGCTTATATACGGTATACAGGTATTTGCGTCATTTCACTTTTGTACGATCAAGTGATATATTAGTATGTATCATTTGTACGTATCAAGCAATCAATTCATTGGTTACTGCAACATTCCTTACAGAATTGTCTTTGAAGTTTGTTTACCTGTTTATATCTAGCCACAAAGTAGGGTTTAGGGCACAGGGGCACGAAGCATACCCCTAAGGGTCAAGACTAGGGCTAGTGAAAATCTGCAATTGCAAAATCTGCGCATAAATCCGATTTTTATCACATAGCATATGCGATTGTGAATTTCGCATATCAGAACCATTTTCGCATAATTAATAGTGCATAATCTGCACATA